TACCCAGAAGCCAGCACCACCTTTCCAAATACCAATCAGATCATCACATCATTGTCCAGCTTAAAATTTCCCAGCAGAATCCTAGCACACTTTTTTTTTTTTCCTAGCACACTTTTAATAAAACACTAATTCCTTACCTGTCCCAGCATCTCCCTGACCTCTGTCAGGTCCACAGTCCCCTCCTTCACCTAACCTTGGCCACACGGGCTGGCCTTCCTTCTGCTCCTCAGGCAACCCTGCATGGTCTACCCCAGGACCTTTGGACTAACACCCTCCCCCAGCCCCTTGCCTGGGCTGCTCACGCTCCTGGGGTATCCTCTCATTCACGGCTCTGTTGAGCACTCAACCTAAGTAACCTCTCCTGACACTTAGTCCCAAATCCACAACCAGGCCGTCTCAGTCCCCAGCTAGTATGCATTGCTCACTGAGAGTTTTCATTTCTCTTTGTCTCTTCATCTAATTGTTTGTCCAGCCTCCCCAGAATGTACAAACTCCCTGAGAATATAGCCCTTATTTTTTACCATCTTGTCCTCAAAACTCAGAGCAATACCTGACTCAGAGGAGGTACACAATAAATATTTATTCAATGAATGAGAACATGGAGCAGAAACAATACCTGTAACCTCTCCCCCCCCCCACACTGCCTTCTAAGCAACATAGGTTTTCAAATTTTTCTCCACCTTTACAAAGTTTAGAAAAAATCATTTTCCTTCCCCCTCTTGAAACTACCTGCAACCTGCTGTGCTGCTCAGGTGCGTGAAGGACACTCTCTGTCAGTAAGAGGGGCGTTTTACCCAGCTGCGTCATGTCTCTCTTTAATAGTTATCCACCCTGAAGTCACCAAAAAAAATTAAAAATACCTAAACACTTGAGCATCTCCTGCCAATATAGGAAGGTAAAGACCCCGGATAAATAAAAAGGTAGGAACAGACTGAAGGCCCTGGACTCTAATCTTAGTGCTGCTACCAATCTCAGAAAATGATTTCCCTTCTCCAGATCTCAATTTCTTCATCTACTAAAAAAAGGGCCTTAACCCTAAGGAAAGGTGAAAAGAATTGAGATGAATGTATACATTCCTTGCTAGGAAGCTCATATTTCCATTAAAGTACATTGCAAAGAAAATGTGAATGACAAGGGAAAATAGTTACAGAAAAATCAGAATTCCAAAACATAAATGTGTTGCAAATTATGTAGAAAACTTTAAAATTATGTGGGGACAATATTGAGTGATTAGAGGTATTTCCTTTATTCTCTAAATTGTGATCAGTAAGTGTATACTATTTTCTCAACCTGTCTCCTCAAAAATTAGCAAATCTAAAATGAGGGGCGGTAACCAGGGAATTGCTACGTTCCCTTCGTGCCCGGCAGCCTGCGACGGCAGCCCCGGGGCCCTGGTGGATGGATGCCGGTTATAAGTGCCCCTCAGTGTGTGGGGGATGGAGGGGGAGGCCCCAGAGGGGCCCCTCAAACACTGTGGGGCCTTGACGCCAGGGCTGCATTTAGGAACTGGCTTGGAGGCCAAATGGGGCCCTGCAAGGGCACTGGATGTGGCCTGCACTCCGGGGAGAGACGTCTTCTTTTGTCATTGAGCTGACGAACTGTCTGAGGTACCATATTTTCCACCACATGGGGCATGTTTGCTTGTGAATAAAATCAGCTCAGAAAAAAGCCTACCTGAGAGATAGATAACAAAGAATCAAGCATGAACACCTCCGGATTCCAACACTTGAGCATCTCCTGCCAATATAGGAAGGTAAAGACCCCGGATAAATAAAAAGGTAGGAACAGACTGAAGGCCCTGGACTCTAATCTTAGTGCTGCTACCAATCTCAGAAAATGATTTCCCTTCTCCAGATCTCAATTTCTTCATCTACTAAAAAAAAGGGCCTTAACCCTAAGGAAAGGTGAAAAGAATTGAGATGAATGTATACATTCCTTGCTAGGAAGCTCATATTTCCATTAAAGTACATTGCAAAGAAAATGTGAATGACAAGGGAAAATAGTTACAGAAAAATCAGAATTCCAAAACATAAATGTGTTGCAAATTATGTAGAAAACTTTAAAATTATGTGGGGACAATATTGAGTGATTAGAGGTATTTCCTTTATTCTCTAAATTGTGATCAGTAAGTGTATACTATTTTCTCAACCTGTCTCCTCAAAAATTAGCAAATCTAAAATGAGGGGCGGTAACCAGGGAATTGCTACGTTCCCTTCGTGCCCGGCAGCCTGCGACGGCAGCCCCGGGGCCCTGGTGGATGGATGCCGGTTATAAGTGCCCCTCAGTGTGTGGGGGAGGGAGGGGGAGGCCCCAGAGGGGCCCCTCAAACACTGTGGGGCCTTGACGCCAGGGCTGCATTTAGGAACTGGCTTGGAGGCCAAATGGGGCCCTGCAAGGGCACTGGATGTGGCCTGCACTCCGGGGAGAGACGTCTTCTTTTGTCATTGAGCTGACGAACTGTCTGAGGTACCATATTTTCCACCACATGGGGCATGTTTGCTTGTGAATAAAATCAGCTCAGAAAAAAGCCTACCTGAGAGATAGATAACAAAGAATCAAGCATGAACACCTCCGGATTCCTGGGGAGTTCATGAACCCCTGTATCCAGCTGGGACAGAAGCAAAACCATTTTTTGATCCTCCTGGTCACTGACCCAATCCATTTCCTCTCCTGTCTAAACCACTCTGAGGTGTATTTGTCACGACACAAAGATTACAGCTCGTCCACACAGCTTGTCATCCCTGCGTTCTAAGTCTGTCTTTCTAGTGAGCCCTTCGCAGAGGGAGGCCAAGCCCCGCCTGGACGCTGTCATGGGACCGCAGCGTCCCATTCAGGGCCCTTTCCTCACGCCTCGAGGGGAGGGTGGCACGCGTGGCCGGGTCCCACAGGGAGAGGCTCCCCGGGCCACACTGGGGGCCTCTGACTTTGATTCTGGGACAGAGTGGGAGCCTCAGAGAACACTCAGCACCCGTTATGCAAATGTGAGGCACGTGCTGCCCGGCAGGTGAGCGCAAAGCAGCTCTGGCATGAATGTACTTGGAAGACGAAGACTGTTTCCAGGGAGGGCCTGACCCCAGCAGCCACCCCACAGTCCTGTCTTGCCTTCAGTCTTCAGCTCAGTTCTCTGGCCTCTGCCTTGTCCAGCCTAACACAGCCCCGGCTAGGCACGGGGCCCAAGGGCGGCTCAGGTGCCTTCAAGCTCTCTGTCTGTGGTGCACCCAGTGCCCCCGCCGCACCATGCCCTCAGAGATGCCGCCCTGGAGAGTCCCCCAGTCCTAGGTCTGGGCCCTGGGGTCGTGCACTAGTTCCCAGGTTTTGCTGTCCTCAGGAGCGTCCAGTCTCTGGGAGGGCCATGAGGCTCTCGGAAGTCCGCAGAGCCTCCCCCAGGGCACGGACGCTCTTTCTCTTCACCTGCAGCTACACAAGGTCTCCCTCCTGTGTGCCAGTGCCCCGATGCTGAGGCCATAGCCCCTGGCCTTGGGTGGCAGGGATCAGCGAGGGCACCGGCTCTCACCACAGGCGCCCTGTTAATCGCAGCAACCCCAGGTGCTTCAGGGCAAGAGAAATGTCTCAGTGAGCCCCCGGGTGTCTTTGGAAGAAATCACAGCTAAGCTTAGTCTGGAACAATGAATACAGATCAGACTGTTGTTGCAGGGGGTGTTACAGGCTGGCATCCAGCTAAAGAGATACCTGAGGATGAGGACATCTGAGAACCAGCAGGAAAATACAAGCAGCGGGCATATGCCCAGTGAGCATGCTGCCGGAAGCCTCTGGACACAAAGCCAGGGCAGGAAAATGGAGAGGCCAGAGCCAGCCTGGTGGGTCACGGGCAGAATCCAGGACATATCTCAGGGCAGAAAGGAGGCATCACAGGGATTTAATCAGGAAAGCAAGTCTTATTTGCTTTCCCAAGAATTCAGCTAGAGGTGCAATTTGGATGAATCTCCTGGCTACTGAAACCAGGATAGTCACCTGATGACAAGTACTTTCAATGCCAGACCCCACCCAGTGGATCGGACCTCCTGGAGGCTGACCCCAGCAAGGGGGAGGCTCAAGGTGGTCATCCCCCATTCAGCCACTGCCATGGGATTTCAACCAGACTGTTCCCCAAAAGCCCTCCTTCCATAGCCCCGGGCTTATTCCCGTCTACTCTCTGTCCCTCCGACCTATTTGGGATGCCACTTGACCCAAAGCTCAAGCCACCTGGGCCGTGACACAGAGTGCAGTGCCCCACTTGCCTAACAGATGTTTGGACCCAAACCAGTATAATCACCACAGGACAAAATTTTGCTCTGTTCTTTCTTTAAATGCTCCGAAAGGATAGCTGGCTTCCCGGAGGCTATAACCTAGACTTCCTGGTCTTTCTACATTTGCACTCATATTTTATTGCCATTTTTTTGTTCTAAAGCACTGTGAGTCGATGGGCAATTTACAGACGTGCTGAGGACCAGGTCCTGGGGCAAGGGCTCACAAACGAAGGTAAATAGGGCGTGATTCTGTCTCCCAAGGAGCTCAAACCTGTCGCAGCAAATATTTTTTCAATGAAAAACCAAAATGCCAAGAGGTTACATGGTTTTTCCCAACACCATACTCCTTCCCAGTAACCCTAGGACAGGCTCTGAGCTGGAACTCAGCTCTCCAGAACCCATGGAATATTCTGTCCCCACCATCCCAGAATTAATTTGGAGGCGGTGAGAAATCACCTCTGGGGACATGCTAATCAGACTTTGGTCTGCTGCCAACAGAGCAGAGTCCGAGCTAGAATTCCGCATCTGGTAGATTCTCTTGGAAACTGTCTCCTTGACTTTTAGAGGTGGCTTTCTGGCCAAAGCGCATGATCCTTTCTGCTCATGTTTAAAAACAAATTAGGAAAATGGCAACAGGCACTCAGCAATCAATCTGTCTGATAGCAGCGCCCAGCCCGGCAGACTGATTTTTCCCCATACCCCCGACAGAGACGGGCCTGCCAGCCCGCAGCTGACCCCAGGGCCTCCTCTCACCTGAGCAGGGCCTCAGCCCAGGTCCCCTTTGTCACTGCATCAGCGGGCTTCCAGCCGGGAGAGTGCCCTGCTCCTGCGTGGCTATCACCTGATGACAAGTACTTTCAATGCCAGACCCCACCCAGTGGATCGGACCTCCTGGAGGCTGACCCCAGCAAGGGGGAGGCTCAAGGTGGTCATCCCCCATTCAGCCACTGCCATGGGATTTCAACCAGACTGTTCCCCAAAAGCCCTCCTTCCATAGCCCCGGGCTTATTCCCGTCTACTCTCTGTCCCTCCGACCTATTTGGGATGCCACTTGACCCAAAGCTCAAGCCACCTGGGCCGTGACACAGAGTGCAGTGCCCCACTTGCCTAACAGATGTTTGGACCCAAACCAGTATAATCACCACAGGACAAAATTTTGCTCTGTTCTTTCTTTAAATGCTCCGAAAGGATAGCTGGCTTCCCGGAGGCTATAACCTAGACTTCCTGGTCTTTCTACATTTGCACTCATATTTTATTGCCATTTTTTTGTTCTAAAGCACTGTGAGTCGATGGGCAATTTACAGACGTGCTGAGGACCAGGTCCTGGGGCAAGGGCTCACAAACGAAGGTAAATAGGGCGTGATTCTGTCTCCCAAGGAGCTCAAACCTGTCGCAGCAAATATTTTTTCAATGAAAAACCAAAATGCCAAGAGGTTACATGGTTTTTCCCAACACCATACTCCTTCCCAGTAACCCTAGGACAGGCTCTGAGCTGGAACTCAGCTCTCCAGAACCCATGGAATATTCTGTCCCCACCATCCCAGAATTAATTTGGAGGCGGTGAGAAATCACCTCTGGGGACATGCTAATCAGACTTTGGTCTGCTGCCAACAGAGCAGAGTCCGAGCTAGAATTCCGCATCTGGTAGATTCTCTTGGAAACTGTCTCCTTGACTTTTAGAGGTGGCTTTCTGGCCAAAGCGCATGATCCTTTCTGCTCATGTTTAAAAACAAATTAGGAAAATGGCAACAGGCACTCAGCAATCAATCTGTCTGATAGCAGCGCCCAGCCCGGCAGACTGATTTTTCCCCATACCCCCGACAGAGACGGGCCTGCCAGCCCGCAGCTGACCCCAGGGCCTCCTCTCACCTGAGCAGGGCCTCAGCCCAGGTCCCCTTTGTCACTGCATCAGCGGGCTTCCAGCCGGGAGAGTGCCCTGCTCCTGCGTGGCTTGTCTGGGAAGCACCAGTGCAGCGCCTCGTTTCCTCTCGTGAGGCAGTCATGACAGCATCCTCCCGGCTGCAGAATGAAACCTGGATTTGGGGACCTCTTCAGGGTTGCCCGGGTGCTTGGCACCGCCTGGCACAACCAGCCACATCCAAGCTCCAGCCAGACTGCTGACCTGGCGCCGGCGCTGTGAGATGGGGCGCGCTCACACAGGGAGGCTTTAACTGTCTCGTCCCCACGCTCAGAGCCCACAAGCCTGAGATGCTGGCTCCTGCGATGCCATTGCTCTGACGCCCCCGGCTTCTCTCTGCCAGGGCTCCAGCCACTCAGGGGTTCACACACCAACCCTGCAAAAGATGTCAGCCAAGAATTCATCCTTTTTAGCCAAGTGATGATTAATCCCAAGGCTTCTGTCTAAGTTTTCCTCTTTTACTGGTGAAGCCAATGAAAATGTTCCCAGCATTAACATATTTGTGAAGATTCTACTGTTTTCCTGTATATACATATTGAGCAAAGTTATTTTATGTTTTACAAAAAAAAAATCCAGCAGCCATCCTTCATTTCTGTATAGCTTGTTGTTCTCATTTCATTTATATGACTTTAAACTCCATGTACAAAGGGTATTGCTGACTGGGGGTGGGAGGTTTACATTTTTAAGATGTAACCACAGTAGAAATTAGTAATGCACAATAAAATATAGATGACATTGGTGGAGGAATGGGAAAGATGCAGAAGATGGGCGTGGGCACAGCCACAGAGGATCAGGCGGACCCAGGCTATGTTCCAGGCCAAACACCACTTGACTGTACAGATTTGTGCACCTAATTTGTTTTTCGGGCTCCACTACCCTCCCAGGCTGCTTGATGAGCCAAGACAAAAATAAAAGCTATCTACCTGAAGTTTTGAGAGGCCATGTACTCATTAGACGGGGTCTAATCAGTCCCTGAAATCACTGAACACTCTCAGGCTTCGACTCACAGACTTGGGCAGACCTTGGAAAGGATGGACGCCTCCGCGCCCACATCTGCAAGACGGGAAAGCCCAGCCTGCCACCTGGGCCGACACCCTTGTTTCTTAGGCTGTGCATTCAGGGCCAAATAGCTCCTGGGGGCAAAATCAACTTTGTTTGGAAACTACTCAAGTCTGATCACTGAACCTGAGTTAATATTTGAAAAAAAAACAGTTGTTGAACAAATATCAAACTACAATAGAATGTATCCAGTAGAACATAAGGTGTAGCCACTGGACAATCAATATCTATCAATTTAATCCTCTATATAAGTACAAGCTACAAATTAATTCATTGATTGATTTAATTAGTCAATTGAATGAAAGACTGAATATGTACTATGCTTTACTTTCCCTGCCCTGAATGTAGAGTTGTAACAGAAATAAATGTCTGCCTTCATCAAGGTTAGCTGACGTAAAGTCTTTCAAAAGCACCTACATATACAAACACACATATATTCCCAGCTAACAAAGCCATCATCAATCCAAGCGCTGATTAATTTCTTTTACAAGTAACTGCTGCCCTTGCTCTGTGTTGGATGCTGCCATGCCTAGTGCATAGATTACGAGCTATGTAAGACACAATTCCTGCTCTCAGCTTATAGCAGACAGGGAAAATCTAGTAAACAAGCCATTGTACTAAAGTATTATTTGTTCATGCAATAAACTTCGGCAGAGTGCTACATGCTGATAACATATTACTGAGCAAAACTGATACCATCTCAGGAAACTAACACTCTAGAAAAGATAAGACACAAAATGAGAATTAAGAAGAATTTATAGTGGAAGTAAGGAATACGTTGGGGGGCCAGGGTGGGTGTCACTGTCTTTGATGAGGAGAATATTTGAGGTATTTTAAAACATGCTCATAAGTACACCCTGCTTATAAAACATGAAGTTTAATTCACCTCCTTATGAATGTGGGTTGGCTTTAGCGTCTCACTTCCAATAGAATGGGGCAAAAGTGATGTCTTGTGACTCATGAACTGGGGTATTAATGATAATTCAGCTCTGCTTGCCTCTCTGGCTGTGTCCTGCCCTGGGAGCCCAGCTGCCATGCTGTAAGGGAGTTCAGGCTTCATGGCTCGGTGCCAGATACAGTGCCCAGCTTAGGCTGTAGCCAATGGCCACATTAGTCATCAGACTTATGAGTGGGTGAGGTTTTCAATGATCCCAGCCCTAAATTGCCCCATCTGTGGCCTAATGGAGCAGATTTTTCAGTGAAATAAATGTTGTCATTGTTTTAAGCCACTAAGCTTTGGGGTGGTTTTGTTACACACTCTTTGAAACCTTAACAATATCATGTGCCCACACAGTTGTAGAGGGAGCACAATGTCTTCTTTGAGCAGTTCAGGCAAGACTTCGTCAAGGAGAGTAAGTTCCATCTTGAAACACGAATGCATGCTCCAGTGAGCATTAGCCAGGCAGAGAAGGAAAAGGCAGGGACCACAAGTTTATGCACAGGGCAGAGTGTAAGCGCAGAAAAGAAGGTGTGAACGAGCGTGTCTGTTCCATGGACAGTGAGCATTTGGCCTGGCCTGCCCGCAGAGGACAGGGCTGGAGTAGAAGAAATCTAAAAACAAAGCTGCATTCAGATACAAAAGCCTCTAAACCATGTTGTGTTATTATAGAAAAGCACATGCAACAGAAAAATTGCCATTTTAGCAATTTTATAATGTGCACTTCAGGGGTATTTAGCACATCCACAATGCTGTGCAACCATCACCCCTCTCTGGCTGCAAAACGTTTTTCATCCCCCCACATCATCCTTTGTGTCTGTTGAGCAGTAACCCCATCCCCCAGCGTCCCCCACCTCCCACACTGCCCCTGGCAATCACTAGTCTGTTTTCTGTCTCCGATTCGCCTGTTCTGGACACTTCATTTAGATGAAATCATACAATAGGTGTCCTTTTATGCCTGGCTTCTTGTGCACGGCACGCTTTGCAAAGTACATGATATTGTAGCACATATCCTTCTTTAGCTTTTATGGCTGAATAATATTCCATTGTATGGATAGCGATAGTCACTTTTGCTGTTCCTGCATTTTGGCTATGATGAACAGTGCCACTGTGAGGATCGCATACAGTTTTGTTTGAACACCTGTTTTCAATTCTTCTGACTATATACCTAGCAATGGAATTGCCGTGTCATATGATAGTCTATATTTAACCTACTGAGGGTCTGCCAAAGTCCTTCCCACAGCAGCTGCGGTTGTTTCACATTCCCACCAGCAGTGCACGAGGGCCCTGCTTTCTCTACACCTTCATCCACACTAGCTGCTCCCTGTTGTTGTGACCATTATTATTATTATTATCAGTGCCCTCCTCATGGCTGTGAAGGGGTAGCTTGTCGCTTTGATCTGCATTTCCCCAGTGACCACTGATGCTGAAGCATCTTTTGATATGTTTGCTAAGTTAGTCATCTGCATATCTTGTGCGGAGACACTTCCAATGGAGGTCCCTTGCATCCTGCCTTGTGGTCAGCTTTACCCAGTAAGCAGTGGAGAGCCAAGCCGTGGGAGCATCACGATCAGATGTACATGTCAGAGAAATGGTAGCAGCTCCAAGACGGACAAACACATGTGGGGAAATGAGACTAGAGAGGAAGGGAGCCAGTCGGAAGACCGTGCATCCATCCAGGAAAAGATGCAAGGAGGAGCACGCCGAGTCACTAGGCTGTTAAAGTTTTATGTGCTTTCCTATTTCTCCTATGTTCGTGTATTTCTACAACTGTGCTGGTGACCTATTTTACCCAGTAGTTTCAAAGACTATTGGGAGGAATTCCAGAAGCCTGAATGAAAAGGGATGTTCCACTTTTTAGGTTCCTACCTATGGGGGGTTCCCATAAGCAGCCAGAGCTGAGGCTCATCTTCCAGTTTTTA